GAATGGTTGCTTTGCTCTGTGTAAGTCATGCAAGCCTTATTCCGTGACTGTGCAACCCCTGGATATGTTACTGTAACAGAGGACACATTTCTTTGGAAGCATAACTTTAAAAATTACGTAAGACATGGCATCAAAAAACACATCCTCGGGCATTGAAAATCTCACAGATCTCTTTGTAAAGGAATGATAACTTCTGAACAAGCAAACCAAAAACAGAAGAGCAGAAGTGGGATGATCCCAAAATTCTTCCAAAGCAACACTCTAACTGCAGTCATTTCTCTTTTTCTACATAAATATTTTTACTTACTGCAGTCAAGACCATATTCTACAACAGTACCCTAACTCCCTGAGGAAGTGGGAATATTTAGTTAAGTACAAACAGTAATATCAAATATCCACCCACAAAAGCATCAGACTGGAATATGCATAATTTAGTCCCCTTTATACAAGCAGTATGGTTCTTTGACTGATTATAGGATTGTGATAATCTGAAAAGCCTTCCAAATAACTATGATTGATCAACTGTTGACAACCAATAAACACAATGGAATAGAAGCCTAAAAAGAGTCAGAATCAGTAAAGCAAGTGCTAGATAAACCAAAATTAAATCATACTGATAAAATCTTCTATTATACAGAGGGTAAGTAAAACTTATCAAATTTATTTTATACCATAGAAAACCAGATCTTAAAAACTCATACTATAATCATATTATTAATTCTTTTCCAACAAAACTCACATGTCCTTCTGACCATTTATTATATTCATATATCTTTTTTAAAAAACCATATAAAAAGTATTTATATTATTCTGGCTTTTCAATATATAATGTAATCATACTCTACATTTCATCAAAAACACAAAGATGATACACAGAACAGGATGTGGAAAAGTTGTCTTTTTATCAAGTCTACATGAAAAATATGTAATTTAAAGTGTTACTTGAAAAGAGGAAAAGATAGCATAAAATGTCAAAAATTTCAAATAACATAACAATATCACATATACTGGACACATTCAACTATCCACATTAACTTTGCCAGAATTATTAGCATAGTTTATTTTATTGCACATTACAATAAAAGTCAGTAGCTTTTACAGTGTTTGAAAATAAGCAATAGTACAATAACTTTACTTGTTCACAGATAATCTACCGGAAACTATCAGCACATATATTTGCAAATATTTAATGGGATTACCCCCAAAATTATTAAGCCTTCTTTTCATGTAAAAAAATAATAAAATAAAATAACTATTGAAGAAAATTAAAAATACAACATGTAATGTTAAAAAGAAGCTTCTAACTCTGAATGCAAGCCAAAGTCATGCTAAGCACTAGCAAATTAACATCTTGAGAATAAAGATTACTGACTCAACAACTACTTACTGAGTGTGTGCTGAGTGCCAGGAGTGTTAGGTACCTGCCCCCGAGGAGCTCACAGACAGACAGGGAAGCCATACAAGGACAAAATTATAGTGCAATGAGGTAAGTGCTCCGGAAAACCTGCCCAGCACACAGAACAGGAAGGACCCCACAGTACTTGATACAAATGACCTTATTTTAAATACAGTTTGGGATAATGATGGCTAATGATTTCTAGAAATGCAAGGTACAGTGGTGAAGGACAGTTAACATTACTTCTCATTCAGAGGAGACCCCCCCAGAGGGCTATGACCACAACAACTTCACAAGCACGTCCCTGTATTTAATCATGCTTATTACCAATGTGCATTTCTTGAAAAACACATAATTAATAAATACATAGAAATCAATCAGCTATGTTTGACCTCATGATGGTGGAATTTCTAAACTTTACTTAAGAAAAATACATATAGTTACACTTCATTTACTCGGTTCCCTTAAATATTTGGAAAACATTTAAGAACTTGGAAAGCATCAAAACTTTACATGAAGTAGGCAAAATTAAAGTCAACATTTGCTCCCTAAAACAACATACTTAGCATATAGGATGGTCCCAAACTCACTCAAAATTTACACATTTATTTTAGAGGTGATTTTAATAAGCAAACTAGAACTAGAAAAAAGGGGAAGAGTGAGCAGAGATACAGATGCCATAAGTAATGAGTTACCATTAACGGAAAGAAGAAAGTGTAAAGAAACAATGAAGTAAAAAAAAGAGTACAAAATCTTTAGGCTGAGGCCTCTTAGAGCAGAGGTGGTTTTACAGAAGAAAACTTAATAACAGTGTTCTCTTCATTTGCCTTTTCCCTTTCCTATTCAACTTGGAAATTGTTTGCAAACTCCTGGTTCATCAGTTTTTGTAACAAGGGATATTTCTGGAACAGAAGGGCACAATGATGATACTGAAGGGTGGGGCAGAGGGGGTACATTTAGAGGAATAGGAAGTTATGTTTTACATTTCAATGTTCTTGTTCTTGAATTACTCTTTAAATACATTGTTTTGTTTGGGGTTTTTCATTTGCTTTTGCTAACTATGTATGCTTAAAGCCCTTTAATATGCCATTCTGGGAGGACCAGCATTTTGAAACATTTGAAATAATGCTGTTATGATAATAAGTGTAATTAAAATACTGTTGGGAGCCATGGTACAGGAACTGTGTATATCTCAAGGTACATAACAACTGATAGTAGCAGCGTCACTCCTGTGGAGAAGAATATCTTAATGAATAAATTTCAAACATCTCCTTTTAGGAGATGCTTTTTACTGCCTGTGTGGGCAGATTCCTCTGGCACAAAGCCCAAAATAGACAGGAGTTTATATTCTTAGATTTTTACCCTCTCTCTTCTTTTGGCTATGGCACAAACATTTAAAGTGCTTTCTAAATGGCATAAATATTGTTAGGGTATTGTCAGGTGGCAAAGAAAAAATTAACTTCCAGTTTTCCCCCATTTAGTTCCCACTGACATCTGGCTTAGGACAGGATGTTCTTTAACAGAGCTCTTAGGTACTGTGAGCTACTAACCTTCCCAAGGTTGCTTCCACTTTATGGGGAACAATTATTGCAAACACAATGTAGTTACATTATCTCAGGCTATTTCTTCAGAGCAAGCAGGAAAAAAAAAAGAATTTCCAAAATAAAAATAAAAATTTAAGCAGAGGTGTCCCATACTCCCATACTCCATTAAATTGTGATGTCTATGGATCTAACTTGCAAAAGATACATTTAAATACCTAGAGGGTGGTGTTATCCACACATTATAGTTATAGGAGTTACAAGCAAAACCTATTTTGTAGGAAAAAGCCTCAGGAGGATATTCACTTCTCTTAGTAGTTTAGATAAACATCAATCAAAACATTCAAAAGGTAGCCCAGTAGATTTAATTTCACAAAGCTGCAACCACTGTATGCTCAATGACTTGCAGATAGACAATTCATACACAAAAATCTAACCTATATGACACAGCTAATTGCATACACACGTGACAACATCACAGCTATTTTATCTTGCAATAAACATCTTTTTTTTCCTCCTGAGTAATATTATCTTTATTGTTCCAAACTGCTGGCTGAAGCCAACACTGTAATATTAATGCATAAATAAAAATAAAGAATCATCATGGAAAAACAAAATGTGGTATATCCACACAATGAAATATTATCTGGCAACAAAAAAGAATGGAGTATTGATATATGCTATAACATGTACAAACGCTGAAAACAAAAAGCAGTTGGGCTTGGTGGCTCAGCCTGTAATCCCGTGCCTTTGGGAGGCTGAGGTGAGTGGATTGCCTGAGCCCACAGGTTCGAGATCCGCCTGGCAGCAAGACCTCATCTCTACAATAAATCAAAAAATCAGCTGGACATGGTAGCGCATGCTTGTAATTCCGGCTACTTGGAAGGCTGAGGCAGAAGGATTGTCGGAGCCCAGCAGGTCGAGGCTGCGGTGGCCGGGAGCGGCCACTGCACTCCAGTCTGGGTAACGAAGTGAGACTCCAACTCAAAAAAAAAAAAAAAAAAGCTAAGTGAAGGACGTTTGTCACAAGAGGCTATGTATTTGTAGGATTCCACTTAAATTAAATATCTAGCATAGTAAATCCATAGACAGAAAGTAGATTAATAGTTGCCAGAAGCTAGGGTAGTAGAGAATGGGGAGTGACTGCCAGTGTGTATGGGATTCATTTTAGCGTATTAAGAATGATCTAAACCGGGCTCGGTGGCTTAGCCTGTAATCCCATGCTTTTGGGAGGCTGAGGTGAGTGGATTGCCTGAGCCCGCGGGTTCGAGACCTGCCTGGGTAACTTGGCAAGACCTCATCTCTACAATAAATCAAAAATTAGTTGGGCGTGGGAGCACGCGCCTGTAGTTCCAGCTACTTGGAAGGCTGAGGCGGAAGGATCGCCAGAGCCCAGCAGGTCTAGTCTGCGGTGGCCAAGAGTGTGCCACTGCACTCCAGTCTGGGTGACAGAGTGAGACTCCAACTCAAAAAAAAAAAACAAAAGAGAATGATCTAAAGTTAGGTAGATCTTTGATCTAAGGTAGATAGATATGCACAACTTTGTTAATGTAATTTCAGCCACTGAGTTATACATTTTAAATGGGCAAATTTTAGTTGAAGAAGGGCATACCAAGCAGAGGCCTGAAATATAAGAGGACTAAATTTTCAACCGCATTTACTGGCACTTTGAATTTTATGAGACTAAGTTCATCTTTATATCCTGGGATCTATGTATTAAGCCTGTAAAAGTGTTTCTCTTTCACTCCTCACTTTCAGAAACATAATCTCCTCTTACAAGAAAGAGAAACGAGAATAACTTCAATGAGGACCTGTCACATAGTGCTGCTCTTTGTTAACAAAGTACCTTCTATATCAATACATCTAATGTAATTTATTAAGTTAACAGGCAGGTCCAAGGAAATCTTAAATCATCCAACTATTCCTCATTCAGAAAAGAATTTTCAGGTAATTATTTAATTCACAATAAACTACAATAGCAAAATCCAGATATATCTATTGTTTTGCATCTAGTGACAATTATTAATTAATGAAAACAAAACATTTTAAATACAAATACTGACCTTGTTTCTTTTAACCCTTCTTTCTGAATGACTTCCAATATCTGCTTTGCTGTCATTGGTGAGTTGGCGTGTTTTTCTAGTGCCTAAAAAATAAACACAAGATTCCTAGATTATTGCATGGAAACATACAAAATGAAAATGTGTGTGAATCATGCAATCTTTTTAATTTTTCTAGAGAAGGGGCTTTTATGTCAATGTACGATTACATTATATCACTAAGGTGTTCAAAGGGAGAATGTAATTTGAGGACAAGGGACATTTAAATTGGCAATTTATGCAACACAAAGGGGTCATTCTTCAAAAAATGTCACAAAGGCATATATACCAAAAAAGAAATGTGAAACCTAAAAACACCAAGTTATAAATATATATATATATATATATATATATATATATATATATATATATATGAATCCTTTATTTGAAAAATTGCTCATATTTGATGGTTAAAGAACATGTTTTCAGGCTGTTAAAATGTTTCCTAAGTTTCCAGGTCCTTGGAAACATGGAGGCTAAATACTATCAATAGCAGAGAACAGAGTGCTGGACAGAAACAGCCTCACTGGATTAATGGTCAAAATCTTGAAAGAAGCATACAGGAGCCCCAGCAACTCACTACAATGTTTTCCAGTTCAGCTCAGTTTCCTTTCCTTTGCCTTTTCCAATGAGTTTCAAGTAAACCCTTTCCTCTTTCCATTCAGCCCATCTTGTATCTACAAACTCAGTCCCATTTTCTTTCTCTCCTTTTCTTGTCTACTTATTATCTTGGGAAAGGAGGTTCTTTTCAACAAAGGTAGAGGAATACATGGGACATACTTATTTCCACAGGCTTTAGACCATCAGCCCTGGAAATCAGGTTCCTTTACTTTTTCCAGGGACTTCACTCCATTGTGCACCAACATGAACTACAGGAACCACACCTGGGTACGAGAAACAAGTCTATGCACATCTTCACAGTGACCTCCTCCAAGGGTAGACACCACCTAATTGAAGGTTCTAGATAGGGCTTCATGCTCACATCATGGCCCCATGCAGCTTAGACATACTAGAATGCTGTCTTGTGATTATTTACTAGAAGAATCATAATTACTAAGAATTAACAGGGCCACCCTAAAAAAATTGAAAAGTCTTCCAATGTCTGTCCGAAACGGTTCTGAGACATCTTATATTCAATGACCACATTCCAACTAATTCACAAGTGAAGGCTCTGCTCACCAATGCCTGTCAGCATGTGACACCCAGCCTGGCCCTCCTACTGGTTGGCCACTCACCTACTTTCCTCTTTGTAGTTCCCAGGCAATTTCCTGATTTTTCCAAACCCTGATCAGTCCTTTACCTGTAGTTGTGAAGTTCTTTAAAGAACACAAATATGAGCCACACTAGAACGAGGATATGGCAACAAGCATGTCAACAGGAAAGAAGGAAAATGGTCCTCACAGAGGACACTAGAGAACTGGACTGAAAACTGAACAAGGGAAAAACAAAATCATAGGTAACGTTGTACAGGGAAGGGGAGTAAAGTATAAAAATATTGGAAAAAAGGCAATAAGGAAACTGCAAAATAGAGCTGAGAGGGGGAAAGACTAGACCACAGGAAAAGGAGGAAGAAATAGACATAAAAACAAAAGGCTGACAGAATTTGTAAAATAAGAAGGACCATAGGGAGCACAGTGCAGAACTATGAACAGGGATGCTATGGTCACATGGACTACATAGAGAGAGTGGGCATGGCCTCCAACAAAAGGCAATGGGTCTCTCATAAGAAGGATGAGCAGGTCAACAGACACAGACACACAGCAGGCAAGTGAGGAAGAGGGGAACTGGATGGAGAGGCACAGGAGGGAGAAAGAGGAAAAAGAAGAGGGAGACAGAAAGGAGGAAAATTGAGCTGAACTGGGAATGTCTAAAGGCAAACTGATTAACTCTAGAAAGGGCCAAAGAGAAAACTCCAGTGTACTGGACAATGCTTAAACGGAAATTTGGGTGCACTCGAAAATTGGGGTTACTCACTGTGGAGGATTCCCTGTTTCTCTTCCTGAGTACAGGCCCCTCAGCACACCTGGGCAGCTCCTCCCAGCAATTGAGAGAATTTGCATAGCCCTGTCCCCTTCTCTATGACATCACATCCTACTCTATAAAGAAAGTAAAGTGCCAAGAATTACATCATGAAGTGGATGAGAGGCAGGAAGGAAATGATGAAGCCACACAAAACACCAGAAGCCACCCTCAGTTCCTGTAAGACAGAGAACGGAGACAGAAGGAGAGGTTCCTTGGTGTGAATAAGATTTACTGAACTAGCCAAGGGAACATTAGTAGAACAAAAGAAAGGGAGAGATTATCTTCATGGAACAAAACACTGATACCGTCAAAATAATGTGACACATGGCAGAGAGCACGAATCAGATTCACATACAGTCATACTCTAAAACACTAGAGTGGGGACAAGCTGCAGTCAGAGTAGGATGGCATCTTAAGCCATCAGACACGAACCTTAGATTGCCATTGTCCCAACAATCTCTTGGCCATGAGGCACTGCTTAGCCTGCTGGAACTTATATTTTGGATGTTTCCATAAGATATACAGAGTTTTCTATTTATACACAAGCAGCTCTTCATCAGTTTTTCCATTGACTTCTACTGCTTTAATGTTTAGAAATTCCCTTTTTTAGAGAGCATGCAAATACCTGCAAATGTTTCAAGTCTTGTTTATCTTTTAATTCACCTGAGATTTATATTTTTGTGGCAAGGTAAAGTATTAACTTGTGCCCCCACCTCTCAATAGTAAGCCAGATGTCCTCAACATACTTTGTTTCAAAAGCCATACATGGTTAGTGAGGCATCCTCTACCATATAGTAAGACAAGTACAACAAAAACTTTTCAATATATATAACCTATCTGGAAGTATGGGAACCCAATACAGAAAACACACAAAAGCAGAGCTGTTCTTGAGGAGCTAGAGATGGGAGAACTCAGAGCCCAATACTTAATCCTTCTAATGACTAAAGGCACTTCCAGGAATCTTGGAGGTCTCCAGGATAAACTGCAAACCACTGTCTGTGTGGCTCAGCCAGGAGTACTACTAGTGCCTCTGATTTTTCCATCAATGGTTGTGCCAGTACTATACCATTTTAATTGCTATATTATTATAATACACTTTACTCTCTGAGCAGGACACTGCTCTCATTATTCCCACTTAAATTTCTAATTATTCACTCCTTTATTTTTTCCAGATGAAATTAAGATTGGAGTTCAATAAACATCTAATTAAATTTTGAAGGAATTTACACACATTATTCTATTGAAGATTTCTTTTATAACCTGTAATAAGCTTTTTATTAATTGTTTTATATTTTCAGTTGCAACTATGAATACATTTTTTTCACATACTAGTCTCATATTTTATTGCTAATAAATATGAAAGTCACTGATTTGGGATAATTATTATCTATATGAACAGCTAATTGAATTCTTAATAGTTGTAATAGTCCAGAGTGCAGAATTATATTTTCTACAAATATTGTGAATTGTGTCTCTTTTCTCATAGTTCTATATTTTACTTCTCTTTCCCACATTATTTATTTTGGCTGACTGCTCTTTCTTGGTTCCTCTCAAAATTTTTTTGCTGAAAATTTGAGCACTTTACAATTCATTTCCTCAAAAACAGGCCCCTGAAACTGCAGAGTTTCGCTAAGAATATCTGGAGCTAGTATTATTGGAACTAGCACTGCCAAGAGAAGACTGTAATTACAAACCACTGACCAGTATCACTGTCTATTCACAAATCAGAGTCTGCTCAATCTTTATATAAAATGTCCTTCCTTCGTAAAACAAATTGTTCTCTTGTGTTAGCTATATTTGTGATTCCACTACACTCTTACTAAAAGTTGTCTTGAATCTCCTGTGCACTAAATTCCTTTCAGTTCTCAGCTACTTTCTTTCTTCTGTCTTGATACTCCACAAAGGTTTCAGATTCAACATCCCTCTCCAAAAACGGGACTCTCCATGACTAGGGACACAAAGCATTCATACAACCAGCTGCCTTCCTACTGAAACATCATCTAATTTTCACAGGAGGTGAACAGATGTGCAGAACTGGCAAATATACCATGGCACTTCACCATCTTTATTATGTGACTAGCTATATCAGAGCCTAAGGACATCTAGATTCAAACACTGTGAGGCAAGATAGTCTCATTATGGAAATGTCCTACCCCAGACTTTATATGTCCTAAAAGAGAAAAGGAAAAAAACTGGAAACAAGGACAGCAATATAGTTAAGGGAAAGAGGGAGAAATGATTTGCCAAATCCTTTAGAGCAGAAACTAGGTTAAAAATACATTTTCCTACGTATTAGGTTCAATTTTTAAGAACCTTTCTGGTCCAGGAACACTGGCTCAAACTTTTCAAGATTTACTTAAGAAATTTTTGGTATCTCTCAGAAACTCACTCTAAGTGTCTTTAAGATAGACACATTAAACTGTATTCATTCAAAGTTTAAAATTTTGGCATTTCAGGTCCTAAAACTTTCTGCGAGATCTTACTTACATATGTGATTGCAAAATAAAAAATAATCACCACAATTTATGAATCATTTCAATAATGTGTTTATAGTTGTGGAATTCTCAAATGTATCAATGGATAGGCTTTCTCCTTTCTTCTAAAATTAATGTGTCATCTGCCCTTAATCAATACTGGTAGTTCATTAAAGTGTTTAGATGTTTAAGATCTCATGTCCTAGGTAACATAAGGGTTATAACAACAATAAACAATTATAGAGCTCTCCATAATTATAGAGAACCTTTACAAACATATTTTATTTCATTTGCTTTCACATAGCATATATTATTTTATTTGACCCTCACGACAACTCAGTGAGATGCACAAAGGAGCTATTAACATTCTTTGAGATGTATAAAATTGAATTAAATGGCCTAAGTCCACGAAGCTAGTAAGCAGATGAACAGGACCTGTGTGCATGATGATATTGACAAGGACAATGTTTAAATACAATAAGAGTGGGTAGTATTTATTATTCAACTCTATTGTGCTAAATTCTCTCTAGAAGCTTTCCATAATT